CTGCACGTGGGCGGAGTGAACCTCCCGCTGGGGCCAGTGGTCGGAGAGGTTGTTCGTGTCCTCGGTGGCCTCCAGCGCCTGACCGCCGAAGTCCGGACGCTCGTAGACACGGATCCTGAACACGCCAGAGGACTGCAACACAAAGAGCAGGGTTCAGCTCGGAGAAACGAAAACTGCAGAGTTGCTCATTTTAAAGAGACTCAGCAGAGGATGTGAGTTTTTATAATATCTTCTATAATGTCGCATAAAAACTATATTTTATTTCACTAATTCGTCTTCCGAGGGAAAAGTTAAGGGAACTAACATTTCTTATGATCCTGCACGACCTGACGCTGTCGTTGTAGCCCATCCAGCGCTTGTAGTCGAGATACTCGCCCCGGGTCAGGACGTACTGGTAGCCCAGGTAGTTGGGCCTCTCGTACAGGACCCAGGCGCCGCTCTCCACGCGGACCGAGTTGCAGCGGCTGAAGTGCGTGTTGAGCTCGGGACAGTCGCTGTTGCACTCATAGAAACGACCTTGGAAGTTTCTGTCTTCGTAAAACACGATCTGCGGAAGTGGAAATTTAACACCAACGCGTTGTTTGAGCTGCACGGCTGCACAATAAAGTTTCGAGCTCCTCTGTCAAATCAAACGACGCAAACGACTGGTCACGAGCATCGTCTCGTCGTCGGCCTACCTTTCCTGCGCGGTCCATGTTCACGCCTCACGCCACAGTTTGATAACGGTTTGTTTTTTACCCTCTTTCACATACACAACATCACCTCCAGGCCTGCTGCAGATTTATATATACAGTGTATGTGGGTCTGCGCTGCCAGGGGCATCATTGTTATTTTAATTGCCTCAGCATTTATATCTGCACAACGGCTGATGCTGCAACTGCTCAGTGTTTGCCCGCTGCTGCTCCGGCTGACCTCTGCATCCGTCCAACGCCTGATTCCAGAAACACTTAGTGATCCACATAAAGTGTCTCCTCTGCAGCTGCTGCCGAGGCCGGAGCGGCGAAGTTGGCTTGTGGCCACGTGGCACGAGGCGGCGCGGGCTTTAACGTCCGTGTCGGAGGGGGACAGGTGGGATCAGGCCGTCACGCTCCACCCTCTGCAGCCGCAGCGCAGTCAGCTGACCAGCTCTACTGGAGAGAGAGCGTTCGTTATTGTGTGTTGATGTCCCGGCACGGTTCATTGCTCCAAATCTGCAGAGAGAAAACAGAAATGGAGGCTTTGTTCTCTGTCCGAAACACGACAGGTGACAGGAAGTGAATCCTTTTGACTGCACGGGCAGATCAGCAGATGGATGAGTGAAGTCAGTTTTGAACAGGATGTGAAAAACTTGTGTTTTGGTTGAATAAAACAACTTGAACGTGAAAACTTTGAGCAGAAGAAAACTTTTCTTCATCAAAGACAGAAAGAACATATCAAACGTATTTTATCAGCTGGATGAAATTACACCTGAGTGAATTTTTTACACTGTAAAAATGAACACTTGAATTTGTTTTATTCAATAAAGTTAATCACAATGTTCGGATTTTTGCACATAAAAACGGGGTCTACCAAACAGTTCTGCAGGGAACTCCATGTTCACTCTCTCCGGTTAAATGAAGTCCGTCATCATAAGAGTCAGTTTTTGTTTGTCATTTTATTGAATTGAAGAATTTGATGCAGCCGTTCCATCAAATGTTATAATCAATGATCTCAAAAATAAAGTGCGACTGTGGCTCAGGAGGCAAACTGGGAAATCCGGAGGGTTGATGGTTCGATCCCCGGCTAACCGTTCAAATTGTTGTTTTGAATTCTTTGCATATCAAACTCAAAATTAATAAAATAAATCATCTGAACAAAAGACAATAAGTTCACACAACTTTAAAAATGTAGGAGAATCAAAAAAAGGCCTCAAACATCAGATGCAGTAAGTTTAAGTCACCGGGATATTAAGCGATGATGAAAACAACTAATATGAAGTTGTAGCTTCTGAAAGAATGTTTTGTCTTCTAAACTTTTATGTGAACTGTGAGCGGCTCTTGTTGCTGGTGCATGTAGTTTATGAGGCGAGGTCGTTTGTTGCACTGAGACTAAACGCTGGTGTGAACGTGGACGAGCCTCTGAGGATCAGTGAAGCTGCTGATCTGCAGATCTGTTTTTATCCGTGAGGATAAACCGATTATTAGAAAGATGCCTCAAAACTGCAGCGTCCAAAAGAGCATTGAGATGAATCAGCACATTTCTGACTCAGTTTATTTGTATTTATTGTTGTTGTCATGTTCAGTGTTTGTTTCTGTTTTTGTCGTGATGAGACATTTTAAAAAGATTGTTCATCACACGATTTAAACTCACACATATTTGCCCAAAACGCTTAATTGATTGACAGAATATTATTATGAAGAAAATCTGGATTAAAGACCACACAGGCACAAATGAGTGTTGCATCAAAGACATTTATTTCATCACATTCTAATAGACCTGTTTCATTTCTCCGTCATTCTTCTGATGGAGCCCACCGCGGCTTTCAGAGCGCCCCACTCCGAGTGGTGCTTGTACTCGCCTTTCTCCAGCAGGTACTGACGACCACAGAAGTTGGGATGCTCGAAGAAAACCCAGGACCCGTCCAGGACTTTGCAGGACTGGACTTCCTGCCTCGTCCACTTCTCTTGTATCGCCTTCATGTTTTCCGTCAGCTCCAGAGACTGACCGTCGAAGTTCGGCCGGTCGAACAGCTTCAGCTTGTACGGGCCCTTCGCCTGAAAGCGACAGAATCAGACACGTGTGTTGGGTTTGAAGGGCGACGGACGTGTCCTGAAAAGCTTTTTGTCGGTAACTCACGTTCTTGATGATCCTGCAGGACCTGACGCAGTCGTTGAAGCCCATCCAGCGACGGTACTCGTTGTATTCCCCGGGACCGATGACATACTGGTAGCCTGTGTAGTTGTTGCGCTCGTACAGAACCCACCAGCCTCCTTCCACCTTGACTGAGTTGCACCGGCGGATGAAGCCGTGCAGGTCGACCGAGTCCCCTTTGCAGTCGTAGGACTTTCCCTGGAAGTCCGGGTCCTCGAAAAACACAATCTGTGAAAGAGAAGTTGGGAACGAGATTATAGATTCATGAACAAACACTGCACCATTTCAGATCCTGTGATTCCTGCACCCGATGTAGAAAAGTGAACATTCTCACCTTATCCATCATTGGAGTTTAAAACACTCTCAGCCAGTGACCAGTGCAGCACTCTTTATACAAGGCAGAAACAATACTGCCAATTCCATGGTTAGCAGTGCATGTAACAGTAATTACAATTCAAATACTCATCTAGACTCTGCCCTTTGTTCTTACTCACTGAATCGCCGGTTCCACACACAATGATTGTTTCGCGGTGCCAAGTACCCAAACCCTCAGTCGCTGCTCTGAACCAACAAACTCTGGTGTTTGTGCCCCTTCATGCTTGGCCGCTATAAATATAAAGTGATATTTAATATGTTCATAATGTTTGATGAAGGTCAGAAAGAGTCTAAATGGTTCTCGGTACTAAATTATAACAATGAGTTGATTAACGTTGATTAAAAAACGCACCGACAGAACAACAATCACAAACACAAATGTGATGACAGTGGTGAAATTAAGACAAACAATAGATATAGATTCCACTTCGTATTTATTTGCAGGGATAAAAAAATATTTCCAGGACAAGTAATTGTACAAAAGTATCTCGAAACACGTGTTAATGTGATGCAGCAACTTAACATACTTCATTTTATATCAAAAACATTTTGTGTAACGTCACAGAGTGAAGATTGTTTTCGTCTTCTGTTTTTCCCTCGATCTGCTTCTCACCTTTATAATGAAATGTGATAAAAAGCTAAATGCACTTGTGGTTTAATAGACAATGATTTGTATTATTTATTCATGTACTTTCTACATAACTGATCTTGTATTTAAAGTATTAAAGCAGCTTTTGAACCAGCCAGTACATATTTATAGTGATGCATCACGGATTCATTGCACAGTCATACATTTAACCAAAACTGTGTCTGAATGTTTCTGTTATTTTTGTGATGTAAAATATCAATAATTAAACAGAACACACAGATAAATATATCGATATTACTGTTCAGCCTAGATTTAACATCTTTAGCATTAAGAGTCCTGGAGAATCATTCAGTGTGAAACCTTTGTTTTACTTTGTATTTTAAGAATTAAGGTAAAAAGTTCGGTCACATGATAATATATCAAATTATGCAATAAGCTAATTACATGACGTTTTAATATTTTTTGACTCATCAGTTTTTCAGGAACATATTTTACTGAGTCACTATTAAATCTGTTTGATTTGTTAATAATTAAATCAAATCAATTTACTTGTTTCTGTTTCTTCAATAACTTCATGACTGTGATCATGTGTATTTATTCCACTTTATCTTATGTGGTTCAGTTTACATGTGTATTTGTGGCTTTATATTGTCGGAGTGTTGCATAATATTGATTTTTACAATCTTTAATTTTATATGTTATAGGCATGATTTTTATCATGGCTTATTTACATGTGCTTCATTTCTTTATGGGCTGTACTGTTTTAATTATGGGTTTGTTGTGCTATAAGTTTGTATGATGTATATCCACATGAAATTATATAACATAGGTCATTTTATTTCATCTTATTATGTAATAATAATCACTTTATCTTAATTTATTATATAATATAGGTCATTGTATTGTATTTATTTTGTAATATTAGTCATTTTATTTTATTTTGTTTAATAAGATCATTCATTGTATTATTATTACGTTTATATATCTAAATCTGGCTCATTGACAGTATTTTATCGTTATCAAACTTAAGAAGAAGAAGAAGAAGAAGATCTTTGTGGCTCACTGAGCGTGGTGAGTTATTCTTCGTCACATGATTGAATGATCAGTCTTGAGATGTTCACTGTGTTTAACATCTTTACAGACGAGGCTGCAGGTGTCGGGTGACTTCATGTAAGAACGACTCGACTTCTCCGTGAGCTACAAACACTTTTATTCATGTGAGAACAGAAACTGTGGGGGAGAAGGAGAAAATGTCCAAAAGGCAAAAAGCAGGTGTGAGACCGGGCTGATCTCAGAACTCTGCAGGGTCTCTGCTGCTGCTAGAACTGTTTGATCATGCGGAACGATCCCACCGCGGGGGAGGTGGCGCCCCAGTCTGCATAGTTGGGGTACTCGCCACGTTCCAGGAAGTACTGGTGTCCGCGGTAGTTCGGCTGCTCGTAGAGGACCCACGCCCCGTCCATCACCACGCAGGAGTGGAACTCCCGCAGCTTGAAGGCCTCGTACACGGACGGGCAGTCTTCAACACACTCCGCCGCCTGACCTCCAAATTCCTGCTTGTCGTAGAATCTGATCTTCCAGGACTTTCCATACACCTTCAAATAGTCACATCGGAAGAATTAAAGTTAATAAGATCATGCTCGTATTTAGCGTCTGAATCATTTGACCTATTTCCAAGTCCTTGTTTACTTTCACATCTACAAATGGGTTTCTTGGCTGTTTTCCTGGTTTCCGTCAATAATTGATGTGCACAGACACGGACAGAAAGCAACCTGCTGCCAAATCATGAGCCCTTTATCTCTTCTTTTTGTCTGTTGGCCTTTGACTGATTACTGTTTGGTTGGTGCACTCTGTGGTATTTCACTGCAGCTGGACCCTCTCCTGCACTAAATAACACAGAAATGTTCAAAAAATAAACTGCATCCCCCACATCATGTATTTACCCTTTACGTTATTATGCTTTACCTTATCTGGACGTTTGGTCATTTGCCTTAGTTCAACAATTCACAATATTATTATGAGAACAAGACGCTCAATGCTGAACGACGTTTAAAAAGCTTCCGCGAGTCGAGCTCACGTTTTTGATACAGCGACATGAGTTGATGCTGTCGTTGAATCCCATCCACTGCTGGTGGTCAGGATATTCCCCGGGGCTCACGACGTACTGGTAGCCGGTGAAGTTGGGGAGCTCGTACAGGACCCAGCAGCCGCTCTCCACCTTGATGGAGTTGCAGTGGCTGAAGTACGAGCGCAGGTCGGCGCAGTCGGTGCTGCACTCGTACTTCCGTCCTTGGAAGTTCTTATCCTCGAAGAACACAACCTGGATGGAAGCAGAGACGAGACATTAGAAGAAGGTTTAGCACAATGACTACAAGTTAAAGACAGTGAACGTGCGTTGCAATTGTTTCCTGAAAGATCTCTTCAGAGGACATCTGCTCCTTACCTTCCCCATTGTTGCTGGTGTTGCTCGTCTCCCGGCCAGCTGCAGCTGCGTCGTGGTTTATATCGAAAAGCAGAATGTGCAGACGAGGGAAAGCTATTGTCATCTAAATTAGGCTGATTTGCATATCAGCAAAATGGTTTGGTCAAGTTTGATTTCCCTTTGTCCACATGTGATGGCCTCGTATCAAAGAAGTGCCAAAAGTGAGACGTGAAACTTCTGAAAGCCAACAGCCTCACGTACTGATTACTGTGTGTTTGTGTGTGTTGTTTCCATCTAACTCTGCCCTGTGAAGGATTATTTACTTTTTATTTGCTCTCAATCTGCAGCTGAAAGTCAAACTTTGGTGCTAAATCATGATTTTTTAATAATTAATTCACATTTGTGCAGCAACAGACTACTTTATCCATGCATTCTTTAAAACACACTGTTGACACCGAAAAGGAAGTTCACTTCAATGAAAAGATAAATAACCTTTAAACTACGAAGCTCCTCCGGAGTGCGATTTGACTTTAAAGTCATATATGAAAGATCTAAAAGACAACGTGTTTGACCAACACGTGGACGTGAGTTCAATCCTGAATAAAGACATTTATCACAGCAGGAAATCACATGTGATGTCTTTATTAATCATCTACATGAGTCATATTAAAGGACGAGTGTTACACGTAAATGTCCTGGTAATAAGATACTGGTGTTGTGCTCATACGAGGACTCGTACTATAAAGTACTGTAAGTATTGCAGTACTTGCGATAAGCCTCAGTCGGTCAGTCTCATACTGGACAGAGCTCCTGGACTTGAACCACATGAAGTTTATTAATCTATGATGTTCTATACACTCATCATTTGTATGATATATTCTAAGGCCCGGTGCACATAAGAGATTTAATCTTCAGAGAGCTCACACATGATATTATCCAGAGATAAGGAATCTCACAGAAAGCCGCCCGACTAAATGCGACTTCAAACGTTGGAGGAGTAACGTCGTCGGCTACACGCTACAGTCACGTGTGTTCTGTGTATAAGAACACGGATGAAGTCATGGCTGAGGAGGAGGAACAAGCTTTTTTGCAGCGTGAGTTGGAAATGTGTTGTTTTTAGTCACAGTTGTACAAGTTCACAACATCCGGTTGGGGACGCTGCTCGATCGGCTCGCTCTCATTGGCAGTAGCCGGTTTACTCAGTATTCTGTCAGTAGCATCACGATTCATTTGTAAACCCCCCTCACTCAGATAATTGGCCTCTGATCTGGAACGTCCCTGTGAAAGTCAGAAGGAGCGAATCAGGTCTAAGCCTGATTATCCTTAAGTGAGCAGCCGCTCTAATCGAACACTAATTCATGACTAATTGTGCTTTGTTGCATTTCAGGGTTTTGCAAATGAAACAAATTGAAAATATGGACTAAATGCAGCCGCAGAGACTTTCAGGGATTTGCAACATGTTTGTTTTTTCTTAAGACACTCGTGATCTGAGCTGGTGACACATGGATGAAAAATCAAATCACAGTTTGCGATTCCTCTTCCCCAGTCTGAGAAAAAGCTGCAGCTCAGTTTTTCCTCCCTCCTCTCCCGCCTTGTGTCTTCCACCCATTTCCCCTCCCTTTGTTCTGGATCATGATGGCACAAATGAAATTAACAGCGATCGCAGAGCTGCTTATTCATCAGCTTTCAGATAATTTGAATAACAAAACCCTGTTACAGCGCGTATAAAGTATAAAAGCCGCCTGGCAGCCACAGGTTGTTGGACAGATTCCCACAAACACAGATCATCAAACATGGGCAAGGTATGTAGAGCAGCAAACAAGCAGCTAGAAACTAAATGTAAAAACATCAACTCAGGAATAAATGAGCGACGCAAAACAGTGTCAGCTTCCAAAAGGGTATTTCAATTTCAAGATTTTCTCATAATTTGTTTTTCTTTTCTACAGATCATCTTCTACGAGGACAGGAACTTCCAGGGTCGCTCCTACGAGTGCATGAGCGACTGCTCCGACATGACCTCCTACCTGAGCAAGTGCAACTCCTGCAGGGTGGAGAGCGGCTGCTTCATGGTCTACGACCGGCCCAACTTCATGGGAACCCAGTACTTCCTGAGGAGAGGAGAGTACTCTGACTACGTCAACTTTGGCATGAGTGACTCTATCCGATCCTGCCGTTTAATTCCTCAGGTATGTAGAGATTTTGAGAGGAAGTGATAACAGGGAGAAACTTTAATGTCTAAATAATGTGAAATATGAATAAAGTTGCTGATTTGATTTATATTTTCTGCTTTTAAAACATTGGTTAGGAAGTAAATAGAGTAAAACTGTAACTGCATCTCTGGTTTTGACACATTCTGCAATGAAGCTGTTTTACGAGCAGCAGCCAAATTGTAGTTTGGTGCCTCGCTGAGCTGTTCCACCTCTGTGCTTCCATCAACAGCACAGAGGCTCGTACAGGATGAAGCTCTTCGAGAGGGAGAACTTCCAGGGCCAGAGTCACGAGCTGCAGGACGACTGCGACAACATCATGGACCGCTACCGCATGTCCGACTTCCAGTCCTGCAACGTGCAGGACGGCCACTGGCTGATGTACGAGCAGCCGCACTACAGAGGCCGGATGATGTACATGAGTCCCGGGGAGTACAGGAGCATGAGAGATGTGGGATACAGCGGCATGAGGCCCAGCTCCGTCAGGCGTATAATGGATTCCTGCTGAAGCAGAGAACAGAATATGTGCTGTCCAATAAAATGAGAGACAAATCAAACTCCACCGTGTCACCGTGTCGTCTCATAACAAACAGAAGAGAGCTACTCCACCTTACTCACACAGCTGTGAGGCAGAAGTACGACTTTTATAATCACATCAATTAGATAAAACACAGTAAACTACAGATATTTCAACATTAGGATATCTATGGTAATATTGTTAACTGTATACAAGCCAAATCCTTTAGTTCACTATATATATATATATATATATATATATATATATATATATATATATATATATATATCTGCAATGATCGTACAGTAAATCCACCAGTTAATAATATTTTATTATTATATTCTTCATTAAAACCTCACGTTGGGATCTGTTTGATTCAACATCATAATCTAATTCAATTTGAAATTGTTTATTTGTCCATAAAGGAGCAAAAAATAAAACACACACAGACACATTTTCATATTCATCGTTAAAACAAACTTTACATATTAGAAAGAACTTGATTTTTAACTCTGTCGTAAATCATTCAATTCAATTCAAATTCAAGTTTATCTCTACAAACTCATAACTTCCATTATCACAAGACACTGCACATAGTTATATGAAATATTACGATTAAATATTATAGTTAAACTGTGATAATAAAAGCTGTTCAAAGTTTAAGTGCCTTCACGATACACGGCTGTAGAGGAACTGTCTACCAAGCTCCCGTCTCTGTCTATATTTATATGAAGATGATGATGAAGATGAGGAACAAACTGCTGTAGACGCTCCTCTGCGGCCCCAGAGACGTTTTTTGGAAATGTGACATGAAAACATCGTTAGATAATCTGGGGTCAAAGGTCACAGAATGAAACATCAGGACACCTCACCTGTGCTTCACTGATTTTTCCTGAATGTATAAAATGGCTGAATCTCCCACAATAATAAAAATGGCTTCACATATCCACACTGGTTTTTTTCATAATGTATTAACTTAACACACGTCGCTGTTACAATTAATCAGAGACTGTAAATAAAGATGGACGACGTATCCCCACCCACTCCCACTATCCAGAGATGAAGCCAAAAATATCCCAGATACCAGCTCCGCTGTCTGATCATGTGATGTCATTCAGATCCAGAGTCCGCACGATAGCAACCAGGGGGTGGGGCCGCAGTATCGAGGTCCCACCCGTACACACGCTCGACCAATTACGACTGAGCCTCAGCTGTCAATCATGACACGTCACGATATATATGATATCCACCAAATAACGAATTAAAACCAAACTCATCAGATAAATCAACAGTTGAGCAAACTTTGAGAAGAATGTGTTTAACTTATATTTTGGTCCATGTCCCATCTGCTAACATGGAGGAGGCGGGGTTTACGGCCTGTGCTGCAGCCAGCCACCAGGGGGTGATAGAGACACTCTGTGAGCTGTAAATAGAACCTTTAATTTGAATTTCCCTTAAAATTGATGATCAAAATATACGACGTGTTGTAGTTTTTAGAGACTTTTCATTTTATTTTGTTTCTACTTGTTCTGATGGATAAACATAATATTTCAATTTATCTTACAAAGATAGTATGTTGTATGTATAGTACGTATGTATATTGAAATAAGACTAGGTACTACCCAAACACTATACTAATGTAAAAATAGAAATGAAAGTCCTGTAATCAAAAAAGTTACCCTGAGTAAAACTACGATCAGCAAAGTGTACTGACAGTAAAGTATCAAAGTATATTCTATAGCTCCTTTCAAAACCAGAGTACAACATGAAGAATTTACACCATTAATGTTATGTCACTGCGCAGTAGTATGTATTGTATGCGTAACTGAGTAAAAATACAACACTGCCCTCAGCGCCCTCGCACCAAACGATCACAGATATAAAAATATACGTTTTTTTAATTCTGCTGTTGGTGAGTTAAGACTTCTGATTCGATGTCCTCACTATGTGACCTGTGTTTGTGGGGCAGCAACACAACACAGAGTCCCAGCTGAGAGCGTCACCCACCTGTACCCCACAGGAGCGCCGCTGCAGTTGGCACTGCCCCAGATGAATGCATTCTGGAATAATAACCATTTACAGAGCGATTTAACAAACATCATGGCCGCGCACGCTGCACTGCTGAGTAAGACGTTCAAAACAATGGCTCCATAGATCATTTAGCTGTCGTGATGGGTATAAAAGTGACAGGCAGGTTGGCAAGGACCAGAGCAATCAGGTGTAGGACCGGACAGCAACATGGGCAGAGTGAGAGGACGTTTTTCATTCTGGGGGTTTTTTAAGATTATAAATTAAATTAAATGACAGATGATAATTGAACAAAATGTATTTTGTTTTCAGATCATCTTCTACGAGGACAGGAACTTCCAGGGTCGCTCCTATGAGACCAGCAGCGACTGTGCCGAGCTGACCTCCTACCTGAGCCGCTGCAACTCCTGCAGGGTGGAGAGCGGCTGCTTCATGGTCTACGAGCGCCCCAACTTCATGGGCCACCAGATGCTGGTGCGTCGGGGCGAGTACCCCGACAACCAGCGCCTGATGGGAATGAGCATGAGCGACTGCATCCGCTCCTGCCGCATGATCCCCATGGTACGAAGCTCCCACACGACTTGTGAAACTTGGAAAATGAAACAGGTTTTTTTTTTTGCCTTGAAGTAACGTTCGTGTCTTTTTACAGCACAGGGGTCCATTCAGGATGAAGATCTACGAGAGGGAGAACTTTGGCGGCCAGATGAACGAGCTGCAGGAGGACTGCGACTCCATCCAGGACCGTTACCGCATGTCCGACTGCCACTCCGCTCACGTCATGGACGGCCACTGGCTGATGTACGAGCAGCCGCACTACAGAGGCAGGATGCTGTACCTGAGGCCCGGAGAGTACAGGAGCATGAGAGACATGGGCATGGGCCCCATGGACATGAGGATCGGATCCATCAGACGCATCATGGAGTCCTGTTAGACCGAACTGAACCAGCTTCACACATGTGATCGATGAATAAATGTTTCATATCAAACATCTTGTCAGTTTGTGTTTTCAAAAGAGTTTGGGCACCTCCTTTAAAATATACGTCACATGATGCACGTGACAATAAAAATGAATCTGCAGGAAGAGATCTTCAATACATAACAATTAGGATTCGGTAAATAAATCATTTTAAGTGAATAAATAATTACTAGCTTGTCACTGCTGTGTTTGAATTCCACCTTTATGAATGTTATCGTCACCAAACATGATCTATTTTTCTTCAGTTTTATTTTTACTTTAGTTTAATTCATGAACAACAAATCTAAAAGATCTAGATAATAATAATTAGATGAACTCAGAGGCTGACTCATCAAATTAACTTCGGATAAACAGACTGTGGATTGTAAAACATGTGAAAGGTTGATGATAA